ACTGCGGGAGCTCGCGCGGGCTCCCTTTGCGCATTAGATCGAATCGCGTTACAGTGGGTTTCGATCAAGACTAACGGCCCGCGACCCACGCCACCTAGAAGACAAGGCTCGCGCTTTATCCCCCCACAAACGTCATCACCAGAGGATCCCCGCAGCGTCGCCCGCGTCAGCGTCGCCCGCATCAGCGTCGCCCGCATCAGCGTCGCCTGCGTCAGCGTCGCCTGTGTCAGCGTCGCCTGTGTCAGCGTCGCCCGCGTCAGCGTTGCCTGCGTCAGCGTCGCCTGCGTCAGCGTCGCCTGCGTCAGCGTTGCCCGCGTCAGCGTCGCCCGCGTTAGCGTTGCCTGCGTCAGCGTCGCCCGCGTCAGCGTTGCCTGCGTCAGCGTCGCCTGCGTCAGCGTCCCCTGCGTCAGCGTCGCCTGCGTCAGCGTCCAAGAAGCTGAGCGACGTGATACGTAGCGCAAGTTCGTCTGCTTCTTTTTGAAGGAGTTGTGGTGACGTCAGAACGTCGAGCTCTGATTGGTTCCGATTGGAAGGATAGTGGGTAGACCTCGAGCCAGCTTGCTTTGTGGTCGCCTACCCGGTATCCTTCAAACAGGGCCATTTAGAGCTCGGCGTTGTGACGTCACCACAACCCCTGCAAAATAAGTAGACGAACTGGCGTTCCGCATAGCACGGGGCGAGGCCAAAAAAGACGCTCAAATTCACGCCACTTTGCGGTTGCTCTCGTCAAGCTTCGGCATGTTTGCCACTTAGGGCCGGCTGTGGGTCCATTAATGATGACGTAAGGGGCCGGCCTTGTCTTCTAGGTGATATCGGTCCGACTCGCTTTCTCGTTGTTCGAACGAGCCACGCGATCGGCTCCGCGCGCGGCCGCGAGCGCGCTTGGTGTCTTTTCCACGTCCCAAACTAGGCTTTAAAAAAAATAAACATATTTATCTAGACATATATATGCTGTAAACGCGGTGTCCCAGCGGCATTCTGGGTTCTGATTAGCATTCATGAGAACCGCTGATACGTGGTGAGAAACGGTAAGTCATCACGCGTTCTCCCGGGCGCGCGCGCGCGCGGGCGCCAGGTAGAACGGGGCAGCTCTCGGTCAACAAACAATCATCCTTTCTCGGCGGCGAGCCGCGGTTTGAGGAGGGTGCGCGTGGAAATTGTGTTAGCACTCCCCCGGCAGCCTTGACGCCGATCTGTATACATTAGATTCGAGTCGGACGTCGTACTTCATTTCCATGCGTTGCGCTGATTTCTAAAACGTTCTTCCCGCGGTTGGCCGGCAGGGCTTTTGGATTATATTGTTGTTGTTTTTTTTCGCACTACCTCGCGGCGAAGGTGGTGCTGGGTGCGGGAAACGTCACCGCTTTCTTTGGAAACCATTCCGCAAACTCGCGCGAGCTTTTGAGCGGTCGTTTGTGGAAACCAGTTGAGGTCGAGAGAGACGTGGGAAGTGTCCGTCTACTAGGGCTCTTTTTTTCCCAGGCGGACGTTGGTTTCGATTCTTCGTTTTATTTTTCTCCGGTTCAAACTATTCAGGGGATTTGCACGGGTCCTTGAAAACGTTGAAAATCCTTGAATTTGAAAACTGCATTTTCCGGACCTTGAAAGCCATGGAATTTCTAGCGGTGCTTGAGCCCCCTTATATATCCCGATGATAGTTTTTTTTTCTGCCTTAATGAATTTTTTTTATAGTAACAAAATATATTCGTTATTTTTACGTGCATGTCCGTATTAATTTAAAATTTTCAACGAGAAAGGGTTTTTATATGGAACATTTAGACACATTTAGCGGATGCCCGTTAAGCGCCTTGCCACAATGGTAGCGGTCCCTGTCGAAGAGCCTAAGAAAAACGGCGAAAACGAGGGTGCAAGAACTTTTAAAGGTCAACCAGAAAATCAAGCAGAAGCTGTTGTAGCTCTTCTAAACCCTTTACTAGTCCCTCTTTCGCAAATGCGCATTTTCCTGTGTATCGTGCAATAAAGAGCTTTTGCAGTGCATTTTAAAACGTTGTTATATTATAAATTTACTATGTAAGTATTGAAAGGGGCGTTTGAAAATATATTTACAGGCTCCTAAAAGTGCTTGAGAGCCCTTGAATTTTTTTTCTTTAAAATCTCAATTGCTCAATTTCTAAGTGAGAGATAAAAAAAAAAGGAAATAAACTGTTCCTCTCGACCTGCACCACCTGACGGTATAACAGGTTTGATCCAATATAATATAAAAAATGAGGGCCGTAATTGACCAAACGTTTCTTTAGTCCTTAAAGCCAATTAAAAAGAAAAACAGGGAGACAGCTGAACATTGGCATTGGAACGAACTTGGAGAATCTTGCGAGCAATTATGAGTATTTGTGTTTCGTTTTTTTTTTCCTTTGGTATTAAGTTATTAATTGTTGTTCCGCTTGGTCCTGCCTCTTGTCTTCTGTGTTCTTGACGACGAGGAAGTTGTCTTCTTTAAAATTTTCGTACTGGAATATATAAGAAAATGGATTGGAAACAATGTTAAAATTTTATTCTCTTTTAATGATTTTATTTTAAAATTAGTTATGTATTTCTACTTATCTTGGCGTTCTCATGTATGTTTTCATTTTATTTCTTATTTGTCTGTCGCCTTAATTATTTTTTGAGGGGGGGGGGGGAGGAGGGAGCATTGTAATTTTTCGTTGTTTTTGATTTTTTTTAATGATTATATTTTACAGCAAGAGATTATTATTATAGCTATACATACCCTAGTATTTACCTATTTACATATTTACATTTTCCCCCGAAGGAGAAGGATCACACTTATAAAACTTCATGTTTGCATCCTGTATTCTTATCATGTGTTGCTATTAATCTTTTTTTTTTTTTGAGATTGGAAGGAATGAGGTTATGTCTTGAAACAGACACTAAATATTTAGTCGTTTTCGTCAGTATTACTTTTCTTTTTGTACGTTGTTTGTTGTTGGCGGTCGGTCTTGAGGGGTGCAATAAGAGATCAACCTCTTTTCTTTTTCACTGTCTGTCTTGGTTGTCCGTTCCTGAACACTGTTGCTCTGAGAGTAGATGACTTTTCGTTCCAGTTTTATTGTAGATACTCTCGTTACTCTTGCTGGGAAGCCCAGAACCTGTAACTGGTCTTAGGTCCTCGTAACCTGTTGTTTGGGGTCTTCTCTGTGGATGGCTGTTTGTCGCGGGTGGTTAGTGGAATCCCAGGGAAGGAAACTGGCTCACTCCCCCTGATCATGTTGTGGGCCTTCCAATTGCCATTGATTGTGGTGTTGGTTCAGGATGGAAAGCTAAGGAGAAGCTCCGAACCAGGAACTAGTCCACGGCTCTCCTAACCAAAGATGGAGTCTTCTCATGGAGATGGCGTTTGTTTTTTTTTGTTTTTTTTTTTCTAAGAAGCTAAGGAAGCCCGGAGAATGGAACTGGTCCAAACCCCCCTATCCACCACTTTTGGGTCTTCCAAGGCCATCGACAGTGTGCATATTAGCAGTTCAGGGTTTAAAGATGACTTTTGGTTGTCTTTTTCTTGGATTCCGTTCTTGTTTGGGTTAAAAGTTAGTCTGTAAGAAATGTTTTTTACAGTAGTTTTTGTTTTTCCTTGAGATTGATATCTTCCATTCTCAAGTTTGTTACAAATACATATAATCATATATACATATATATACATATACATACACACATACATACCTACATATACATACACCCACGCGCACATATAAACACACATACTTATACATTCACATATGTATACATATACACATATATATATATATATATATATATATATTTATTTATTTATATACTATGGAATGTTGTCTGAAATATGTTTAACTAACGCCTCCAGAGTATTTATATGAGTTTTAGAGTTCAGTAGCTTTTGACGAATATTCAAGTTTATGTGCGATATTGAAAGTTTTTGAATAAATGGTTTTGTTAGATGGCATGCAGTAAAGTAATGATCCATACTAGTACAAGTTTGTCCACAGGGACAAGCAGTGTGGTTGTGTATATTAAATCTATAGAAATAAAAAGGAAATCTGCCGTGTGCAGTAATAATTTGTGTGATGTTACTAGAAGGAGGGAAGCTAATGGGTATATGATTGGTTGATGGTATCCATTTAAATAATTCTGTGTTTTTGCCATCGTTTTGCCAAGAGTGATCCCATCTCCTACGTGCTAATTCCATTATTGTATGTTTTATATTTTGTTTTGATTTTGGTAGGTGTATGTATTGGCCATGATAACGTGCCGAGTTTGCAAATTGGTCGGCTAGATCGTTCCCTAAAATATTAGTATGGCTTTTGACGTGAAAAAAAGCCGTTGCATTAAATCTGTTGACAGATTGGATTATATGTTTTATTTCGTTAATTAAAGGAGCTGTGCAACGATATTCAGTTGGAATGTTTTTCACTATACACGAGCTTACTGGCACTAGTGGGACTCAAGGATACTCGCACGCAACGCCACTGGCCAAGAAACTCCTCTGTTGCGGTGAAATTTCAAGGACAAAAGCAATTATTTTCGTTTAATCTCTCCTTTGCAAAATTTGATGACGTAACTCGGGGATCGCAGAACACCCAAGTGACGATATTTGAATGCGGTTCATAGATTGGACCCGAGCCCTGCGTGGGCACTCGATTTGGGCTCGTGATAATTACTAGCTCGAGAAGCATTCGGGTAGTGGCCCGCGTCCAATCGCTGCAACGACGACAGTAGCCGAGCCATAACAATGTCTGGAACTCAGCGCGTGTCCTGTGCCTTGCCAAACCCAGCGCGTGGCTATGATCAACATTGGCGGCATATAATCGGCTCCAGATCGCGTGGCCGCTTGTTCTGGCTGCGAGTTGAGGGGGTGAACGCTGCTCGTTTTTCTTTAATTTTTTTCTGGGACTTCTGTTGCGTGAAGTGAAAAACGAACGCGTGTTTCATAGGTCATTAACGTCAGGGATCTGTTCTAAGCGGTATTTGCGCAAAGTACAAAAATTGTTGCATCGCTCCTTTAAAGGAATTGCATTGTTTGGATTTGCCAATGCTTGTAGGACTGATAGGCTGTCGGTGTATATGTTACAATGTAGTCCATCTCTTGTTGCAAGAATATAATCAAGGGCTTTTAATATGGCAATAGCCTCTGCATCGAATATTGTACTGTGTTTTGGTAAGCGATATTTTCCTATTTTTATAATTCTTCCATTGTTTTTCAGAATAACGAATGCTGCTCCCACCTGATCTAAGTACACTGAACCATCTGTATAGAGTGATATGACGTTGGTTATTTGAGATACAGTAATAGACTTGATTCTTTGGAATGATATATTGAATCTCTTTGTTGGATGAGTTTTCCAAAGATCTATAAAATACGATACCTCTGTGGGGGAGATACTAAAGCTATCGAATTGGGCGGGTATCTTAAGTTGGAAGACATTAAACATAAATGATTCTACGTCAAGAGTAATGTTGATTGGGATGATATTACATAGTATAGGCAGGCTTATGTTAGAAACTGTGCGGAACGCTCTTGCTATTTTAAGTAATGGTAACCTTTGTATGGATTGCAGTTGTCTTAACATATGTGAATTTCCTGATGGTCTCCACCACGCGGGTGATCCATACACTATATATCTTTCTATGCTTCGTAAGTATATTTCCCGTAGTTGGCTTGATGTGATACCCCAATTTGTTGAGTATATTTTTGAGATGTTGGCTGTATGGATTTGAACTTTCTGTTTTATATATTGAAGGTGTGGTAAGAAGGTTAAATGTGAGTCATAAATGACTCCTAAAATTTTAAGTTGTTTCACTATTTCTAACTTATGATCGTGAAATTTTATTATTGGGGGTCTTTTTTTATATAGTTCTCCTCTAGTTATTATTAGACATTTACATTTCGAGTAGTTCAAATATAGCTTACGTTCGGATGTCCACTGTCCTATTTCTTGCAGTATTTCGATAGTTCTTTCTTCTAATTCTCTTCTTGAGTTCCCTTCTATGACAACTACGATGTCATCTGCAAACGCTTGTAGATATATGTGATTCGGAAAGGTTCTTTCTAGTAATCCTGATAGTAACATATTCCATAGTAAGGGGCTTAGTGGAGAGCCCTGGGGGCATCCCATATTAATTGATTTGTTTATTTCTTGTTTTTCTGGAGTGATATATATGACGGTTCTATCGTGGAAGAATGAATATAGCAGATTGTATAGATTACTTGGGCAAGAATGGTGTTTTAAATAGGCCAAAACTACCGGATAACACAGTGTGTTAAATGCTCCTGTAAAGTCTAGGGATACCATAGCTACCGCTGTTGATTTATTTTTTAGTTTTTGTAGATGTGTAGTAAGTGTGAACAAAGCTTGTGTAGATGATTTAAGATGTGTGAACCCGAATTGTCGTGGGTGTAATAGTTTTTTTGAGTTAAGGAAGAAATATAATCTGCTATAGAGTGCACGTTCTAAAACTTTTCCGAGTATGGAATTTAGGCAAATTGGGCAATAGGCGTTGGGTTTTGCTTTGTCGTTATCTTTTTTATTGAGCAGTAGTATTTTCCCTTTCTTCCACTCCTTTGGAAAATATCCAGATGTTAGACAGGAGTTGAATAGAGCCAGGAAAAATTCGGGATGGTTATGCCAAAAATATTTAAGAAAAGTAACATTGATTTTGTCTAATCCGGGGGCGGTTTTAAGTCGTAGTTTAGTTATTATGTTTGATATTTCTTGAAATGTTAGTTCAACATCTGGTGGAGAGAATGAGGGAGTGCATAAGTATTGTCGTAAGCTAGTTATATATGGTGAGTCTTTTGTAATGTCGTCCGTTGGGAACACCGTATCTAAAATATATTGAACTGATTCATTAAATGAAGAAGTTAAAGTATTATCTGCTCTCAATATCGGTGGAAGAATTAGGGGTGACCTCCTCTTATTAAATGCAAGTTTATATGGGATTCCGAAGAGAGACTTTTTTGTGGTAGCGGAACATGATTCCTGCCAAGCTGAAATTTTAGCATGAAGGATGGCTTCCTTGTATGTAGCTCTGTAGTCGTAATAAATTCGTTTTTGCAGTGATCTAATATCTGTGTTATATGATCTTTGGTACCTTCTTCTTAGTGCATTAGATTTAGATCTCATGATCTGTAGATCAACTGATTACCAAGGGACCGTGCGATTTCCGGATCGAACGTTTCGTTCACACTTTTTTATCCAAATTAAGAATTTTTTGTATAGTATATCTAATATGTGATCTATCCATTCTGGTGAGTAGTGTTTAGGTACCCAGGTCTTAAACCAATCATCTTGTTTTATAAGTAATTCTATTTTTGAGTAGCTTTTTAATGTTAATCTTTTTTGCATGGTTTGCTTTTGATTGAAGAATCCAAAGGCAATAAAGTTATGATCACTTAAACTATCAGTTTCTAATACTTCCCAATGTGTAACGTTATGAGCTAGAGAAGGGGTTATGATTGAAAGGTCTATCCAACTTTCTCCGTTTACGGTAGAGAATGTAGGAATAGAGTGTTGGTCGTTTAATATGATAAGATCCTGTGTTAGTACAAAATTATTTAATTGTTCCCCTCGGTCATCATCTATTTTGTCTCCCCAATTGGTGTGTCTTGCATTAAAATCTCCGGCTATGATTATGTCGTTTTTGTCTATTGTTATGATTGACTCAAGACGTGTTAGGAATGTATTAAATGAAGCTGTAGGAGATATGTAGACATTTATTATTGTTACTGTTTTGTTTGAGTATGTACATTGCAAGACTATTAGATCGTTTTCAAGTATTTTTGGAAAGATTGAACAAGATCGGTCTCTAACTATAATGGCGCATTTGGGATCTAAGGGGCAGTGAAAAAATGGTTCTGAGTTTGGAATACCTGTAATGTGGTTATTGAAAACATATGGTTCTTGAATTAAAATAAATTCAGCGTTATTTTCAGTGTATATATTAACCAGATTAACAGTTGCAGCCCTTGATCTCCGTAAGTTGATTTGTAAGATCTCTAACCTATTAATCATCGGTCAACTTATGTTTTGTTTTGTTTGTATGATGCGTTTTCTCTTTATAGGCTTTACTCGGGTTGTTCCTTCTTAACTCCTTTTTTTTCCGATTGTAATGTTGTTTGTTTATATTAGTTTTGTGTTTGCTTATTTTGGGTAATCTGTCCGAGACCGGAGTTGTGAAACGTGGAAGGCGTGTGTACCGCATTCGCTCGCTCCAAAAGGGTGGTTGGCATTGACCCTTCGGTTGATACATGCGCGGCATTTACCCTCCTCATAGTTTGTTATTCTGCACTCCTGTGCTGGGTGGTTGCCCGCACAGATGGAGCAGAAGATCATCTGTGATGCACATTTTGCTTTTGTATGTCCGTAGGTGCAGCATTTGTCGCACCTGGGGACATAGAAGTTCTCTGTTACGGAGCAGGAAGTCCAGCCTAGGCGCAGTTTGTTTGTTTCTTTTAGTTTCTTGTAGACCTTGGCACTCACTTCAAAGATGTGAGTGTTGTTCCCCGATTTTTCTTTGAATGAAATCCGGTGACTGAAGTCCGAAGGTTCAATTTCGATCTCTGGGTTTTGATTTTGAAGTTTTGTGAAGAATTCCGCAGATAGAATGTCAGGGTCGACGCCCGAGACACGGAATTGTGGTCGACGTTTTGTCGGTTTTTTAAGCACGAACACATCTTTGGTGCTTGGGTGAATTTCGATCGCGTCCTGAAGATTCTGCAGTCCTTCAGCTGATGATGATAGTACAGCCACTCCTTCTCTGATGTCTCGCACTGAAACTTCACCCAGTCCCAGGCTGTGCGGCTCAAAGTATTTTTTCAAGATTACTTTGATGTTGTTCGACGCGTTCAGTGCTGGAGTTCTCAGATAGATTAGCATTGCATGATCCATCTGCGCGGGTGATCTCCCCGGGCCGGGAGGTTGTGGTGTCGTTTGTAACGCATCCACAGATGGTCTCCCTCCCAACCCGTTGGGGTCGTTCCTGTTCCCTCGCAGCACGTCCGCGTACGTGGTGTTTTTCTCTCGTTCTACGAGCACTGCTCGAAGAGCTGCGTTTTCGGTTTCTTGACGCGAGCTAATGCTCATTAGTCTCGCAAGCAGTTGTAACAGTTGTGAACCAGTTTCTTTGTTAATCCTAGCTTTATCGTCTTCGATTAATATTATGAAGCTTAGGTGGATGTCGCATATTTCTTTGTTGTTGGTGTGGTCAAGTGTGATTTGGGATGTCTCCGGGTCGTCGTTGCTTCCGCCTGTTTTAGGATTCATATTTCTGCTCTTTTTTCGGAATAGTCAATATTTCTGCGTAAAAGACTCGATCTTGCCGGTGTTAACCATACGTGAACTTTAGAAGAAGAAGAAATTTCGTTTGACTGTGTTCTATTTTCGAAGAAATTCAAGAAGAACGGTTTAGTTGGTGCTTCTTCTAGATATATTGAGTGTCGTTATTTTCTTGAAATTTAAGTTTTTTCGAGTTAGTTTCAATGACTGTTTGATATTTCTAAGATCGGTAAGCCCTCCTGGTTCCAACCTTAAGCATGAAAAGGAAGAAATACATCTACTTAGTTGTTTATGAAGTCTAGAACGGTCTTGCTATTGAAGCCCGCCGATTCAAAAAGATGGTCGTTCGATACGCACATAACTCTATGTTGATTTTCTAATGTTTTCTATTGAAATTACATGATAGTGAGGTATCGTTTGAATCACTACACTTTACTGAATTCGATCACTAGATTGAATTTAGTGTAAGAATATTTGAGGTTGAAAAATAATTGAAACGATACAGCTCACTGCTTTGGTGCTCTCGTTCTCTTCTTCGGGACTCTTCGTATTCGGGACTCTAGCAACCTATAGGGGTCGCCGCTCTCGACAAATATGGCCGACGAAAACAGGTCGTGCCGTGCCATGTGCCAGCTCAGTGCACAACGCTCCAATTTGAGCGGGCAATCATTGGCATTAAAATGATGTTCCCCGAGGCTATCTTTTTTTATTTTCCGAAGAGGCAAGCTTTCTTCGGAAAACCGATAGAAGGGCTACCTACCCTCCTACCCAGGCACGTAGCCGGGATTTTGTTTCGGGGGGGGGGGGGGGGGGGGGGGGCCGTTCATGACAAGATGCTGTATGAGGGGGAGAGGGGAGAGGAGGCCGCAGCAAAATGGAACATGTGGGGGGGGGGGGGGCGGGCCCCATTGGCCACCCCCCCTGGTTACATGCCTGCTCCTACCGCATTGATGAACGTTGAGAAACGTTCACTGTCTGATTCACGTGCTTGCGTGGTCTGTGTTTTGAGCGAGACGCGGATACGACGGTAACTACAACGTCACCGGGACAGCTGTTCGCTCTTTACAATAGCAACGCAGGGCGCACCGAATTCGATAGGCCAATGTGAGTAGTTTCTTCTTTTTTTGTTTCTGCTGCCCTGTCTTTACTGCTGTTTTCGTTGTTGTGAACGGAAACCAACCCAACGTTTTTCGCTTTACTTTGATGGCCATCGTGTCAACCAGAAACACCACGACACAAGCAGAAATCGCGAAAGGACCTGCGTGTCGTCTGTCTTGCTGGATTCCTTAATAGAATCCACCTTCAAATCTGCCGCTTGCGGCGCTCGTAAAAAAAGGCCGGTTCACAAATGCATCCCAGCGCTGAAGTAACGCAGTCAGCACTGTGTCCTCACTACTGTCAGCACTCACTCAGCGCTGAGTCAGCGCTGCGTTGTGTGTCCCAGCACGAAGAGGTGGGATATTTCCTGTCTCGGAATACTGATGCAGGACTGATACATGGCTCCGAGGCAGGTCACCTGACCTTTTCTTGAACACACAAAGCAGCGCTGACTCGGCGATGTGTGAAGTGCTGGCAGCAGTGCGGCGATCGCTGACTTTGCTTTACTTCAGCTCTGAGATGCGTGTGTGAACCTGAATGATGGATATAGTGCAAAGTCGGCAGTGTGTCGATTCGGAGGGCAAGTTCGTCTGCTTATTTTGCAAAGGTTGTGGTGACGTGAGAAAGTCGCCGAGCTGTGATTGGCTCTGACTGAGGGATAGTGTGTTGACCTCAAAGCAAGCTGCCTTGAGGTCTACGCACTATCCTTCAGTCAGAGCCAATCAGGGCTCTGCGTTTTTGTGACGTCACCGCAACCCCTGCAAACGAAGCAGACGAACTTGCGCTCCGCATAGCTTTCGCCCGTGGATTGTGCATGATGGGACGCTAAGGACGCCGCGTTCCGTCAGCAATGAAGGGCGCGTTTACAATTTCGAATTCACGGGCGGATCCGCGCTGGCGGAAAGTGGGTTTTGGAGCCGGGTGGCGAAATGGACTCGTCGCTTGCGGAAACCCTGGGTCAGTCTGGTACCCATATTTAGATTTTTCCGCCAGCGACGAGTAGATTTTCCCACCCGGCTCCGAAATCCACTTTCCGCCTGTGCGGATCCGCCCTTGGATCCGCAAGCGTAGACGCCTCGTGAATGATCGCGTCTCATGGACGCCAGAGGAGGCGCCTCTTTTGTGGTCGCGTCTCATGGACGCTATGTAGCGCCCGTGACCGAGAGAAACAGGCCTATACACCTCCTAAATGGAGACCCCTGACCCGGGAAAGGAAGAACGTAAGTACTCTGCCCTCCACAGATGTTAAAACCATAGAGTTAATATAATGTACGCTAGAGGTTCAACTGGCGCTAGTGTGCTGCTGCAAATTGAAGGAGACAGCAAACAGTCCAAAATTGACTTCCGGTAATGCATTTCTATGGGAAAAAGTGAGTACATTTTCTCCCTGCGCTCGATCATAAGCCAAGCGCGTGTCGCTCGTGTGGGCAGCGCGTGCAGCTGCAAGCTTGCAGTGTTGGCGGTAACAAGTTACACGAAACGGCGTTTTGCTAACGCGTTACTTCTTCCGGTAACGTAGTAGCGTACTGGTCACATCTTCAAAAGAGTAGCGGGTAACGTACTTACGTTCCTTAGTTTTCAAGTAACGTGTAACGTAGTTACGTTACTCGTTACATATTGTTCCCAAAACTTAAAAAAAAAGATTACACTTAACTTTTTTGTTGTGCGTTTCTAGGCTTTAAATCATATAAAAGTTTGCGTTCTTTTTGCGATTTTTGCTCGTGAGTTTTTAAGTGGAACCTTAAAAAAAGATAAGATAATTATGTTCAGTTTATAGATAGAAATAATGTTTCTTAGAATATGGCGCTCATGGATAGCTGTAACATAAAAAATAAAACGTGTTAAGTCATAAGTAAAGAGTGACGTGAGTGTAACTTGAGTTACTTTTCAATGATAACGGTAGCGCGTTCCCTTTATTTTGAGGTAACGTAGGTCGGTAACGTGTTCCTTTAATTTGCAAGTAAGGAGTAACGTAATTCGTTACTTTTTTTTCGGTAACGCCTACAACACTACAATCTTGCCAGATATATGGAGAGTATTCACTGGACGCCATATTTGTGGGTGTTGTTTAGAGCGCATGAGTGAGTGAGAAAACGTATTTATTAAAGGAATGGGATACATCACGATTTCTTGATAAAGTCATCCTATCGTGCTCAGAACGAGCTCACATTAATAGGCTGCTAAGACCGCCAACCTCGATGGTGTGCAATGCAGGTTGCGAATTAACTGTGGAAGCTCGCCCTTAGCACGCGCTCAGCAGTTGCGCACACAGCTATGGCCGCCAGTGAATACTCCCTATTCCCCCGCACTCACACCAGCCGTGATGTCTTTCTACGACCTTCCTGAAAATAGCGAGTGTGTGCGTGCATAGCTCTGACAGGCGCTGAAGATGCGCTTTCGCGGGAATTCCTGAAACTTTGGATATGACGTCACGCTCCGCGAAGAAGGGGATTCAGCGGTAGCTTTGAAAATTATTATCTGCAGCCTCCGTGCACTAAGTGGAAAAAAAAATGATACTCGTGATTTTTGAGGTCAAATGAAGAGGATGTAAGTGTTTTTCCTCAAATACAGACTCCGCTCCAGGTTTGCTTTAATTTCAGAACTTCAGACGCAGCTGTTAACACCGACTCTAATTGTGT